TGTGCCTTTCTATGGGAGCACTGCTCCAGCTTTCATTGGCTGTGGATTCACTTGTGGACCCTTTCCTTTCACTGTGACTTTCTAAATTGAAGTCACACAGACTATATGTTGTCACTTTTGGCATCCGGCTGCTACCTGTCATGCACAGGTGAGAAACTGCCTTTCTCCTTACCCAAAAACAATAAACCCAAGGTTTAACAGAACAGCAAGTGCTTGTCTGTCACTCCTGCTGACACCCAGCACTCTTCCCATCCCACCCTGGGGAGATCAGTTGCAATGGGGCAGCCTTCTTCTCCATTGCTTTCAGTGCAGCCTGATTTAACATAAATACAAGTGCATTCTGTGTATTCACAGGATGTGTATACACATGCAAGTGCATTCAAGTGCAACCCCTTGCACTTACCTACTCATCCTTCCCAGGTTGTGCCAGGTTCCTACAGGCAATGGGAAGGGCTGGATGCGAAATACAGCACAGAAAGGGAACGAGGATGCTCCACATGTTTACACAGCCCTTTTAACACTGGCAAAGGCCAAAGCAGGAGCAAATGTGCCATCAATTATTAAATTTTCCCCCAGCTCAATCAGGCAATACAGGAATGCTGTGGGTTCACTCGTCTCCCACAAAGCAGCAGAAAGAAGGGAGACTCCAGGCTTGCTTGCTTTAAGGAAGGATCTGAATCTGGTCCATCGTTGCCCTTAGGCTGCATTCTGGTGCTTCTCCTTTTCTACCAGCAATAATCTCAATTTTGATTGGCCAGTTGGCACCTAGCAGCTTTCTACATACAAGGTGAGGATGGATGGAGCACCTGATGGAGCTGCTGGTGTCCCTGTCCTCTGCGGGGCTGTTGGAGCAGATGGCCTTTAAGGATCCCTTCCAACTTAAATGATTCCATGATTCTAAGCTGCACCAGCCAAACTCCATTTGCTCTCCAGATTCACCCCGTGCCCTTCTGTGCATCTTCAACAAGAAATGTTGACCCCTCCTGCTTTGTCAGTGTGCTCTTGGTCTCCGATTCCAGGTAAAACCGCATCTCTCTCGGTCAGTCACTTCTGCGAAAGCAAGAAAACAATGATGTAAGGACAGAGTTACGCCAATTAGCTGAGGCGTTGGCCAGAGCCAGGGAAAAGTCCTCCCTGGGAGATGAAATTCTTGCTCTGATGAACCAAACAGGAAAATTCCCATTGACCTCACCGCGCTCAGGGCCCAGAGCCAGAGGTCCGGCACTGAATCATCTGCCTCGATTCCTGATTCACGAGCAGCCCGGATCTTCTCCCTGGGTCATCACAGCACGGTCCAGGCCATTGAGGCACACAGGAAGATGCCAGCCCTCCCCTGGAGATCCCCACAAACAGACAGGAGTGCTTGGGAACTGCTGCTGCAAACAGAGCCCGGAGCCAAATTCCTCCCCACCCTGCGGGCTGCAGCCCGGCTCTCCAGCACACACAACACAGCGGGCATTTAAATCAAGGCTCTTTTCCAAAGCAAACAGTTTCTTCCTCAGATTTGCCCACAGAGTTTGTGATTCACGCCTCTTATCTGAGGGACTGTTAGCCGCCATGTTTATGGCCTGTTTTCCTATGAAAGTGCGGCGTATGAGCTCATCAGCTCATCCCGTAAATCTCCCTGCCAGATGCTGGGCCTTCTGCCCCCTGTCTGTTTTGAAGCTGTCAGCCAGCCAAATTTCCATCAGGGTCACCTGGAACTGCTCCTTTTTCAGGCATCGTTGTAATGGGATGGTAGACACAAGCTGCTGCAACAAGGCATGCTCCCATTCTCCCCCATTTGTATGCTCACCGATCTAGCTGGAAATCATTCTCCAAAAAAAGCCCAACCCAACCCAACCCAAACCAAAACAAAAATCGACACAAAATCAAAAAGAATATTATCATTTCTGACCAATAAGTGAGACAAACAGACACGCAGAGTAGGACAGAGGAAGGATGAAGGACACGCATGCAGGTTGGAGAGCAGCAGACTCCAGACCAGTACCCTACACAACCCTTCTCTATGTTTTCTTGACCCATTCACTCCCCTGGAGCAAAACAACAGTATAAGATGCTTACGTGTAAGTGTATTATAGGGCATGCTACTCAGAGTAATGATCTCCAGGTTTTTTGATCTTATGGGAGAGAGCCAAATGAAGAAAACTGGTATTTGTGCATGACCCTTTAATTTCAGCTACGTGTACCTAACATGTAGCTCAGGAGGCTACAAAGATAGGTGTTCCTCAGTGCCAGCAATCCTATATCATCTCCTAAGAGATGCAGAAACAGTCCATCCCTCTAAGGAGATGCATTTTGGGTCTTTGCAGCCTTTTGGGTACCTGCAGCCATATGGACAGCCCAGTCCTCACCCCTGTTCCTGAATGACTGGAGATATGAGTTCACCAACCGTTGGCCTGAACATCCCCGAATGGAATTCGTTTGCTGTTCCCAAGCAACAGGCCAGTGTTGATTTGGCAAAGATAGCCAAGGTTGAAATGAAATCCAGCTCTTAAAATGCCATTGTAAATGCAGCTGAGTAATCAATACCAGAATTATTTGGGGAAGGTGAGCTTTGTACATGTGGGCATCCTGGCTGACCCCTACATCCTGGCATCCCCTTGCATCCTGGCTGTCCCTTACACCCCCATGCAAACTAAGGCATTTTCTAACCCTGTGTGTTTGGCTCTTCCTCCTCCTCCAACTCTTGTCACACGATTGATAATACACCACCAGCAACCCCTACAAAACCCATCTCCAGGGGCGTGGTGACCTCCAGATGTCAAAAGAGAAAGGGACATAGGTCCAGGATCACATCTACCAGACAGCATGGCTGTCTCAAGAACCCCAGAGCATCCCAAATGGTAACACGTTGTATTCAGGAACTGGAGCGGGTGCTAAGTCCCCCCTGACTTCAGTCAATGCTCAGATATCTTATGGACCTGAAGACCTACGTGTTCCGGGAGGTAGGAACGATGTCTGTAAACCTGACCATGAGTAAAGTTTGGGCATTATTCCCTAAACATCTCTTCTGTCTTGTGGGGCAGGAAGCACGACAGCCTTCTGGACACAGGTTGTTCCCAGAGCATCCCCTGCAGTGCTAGGAGGGTATCAGCTGGCTTAGTGTGTATGCCAAAAGTCTAGAAGATCAGGAAAGTCTCAAGAAATGTGCTGAAGAAGAATGTGGCCTCACTGTTCATGGTCTCGTCATGAAGAATAATTTAGGGAAAAGAATGGGAGCCAAATTTAGGGGAAAAAAGAGTTCCTTTATGTAACCAACTGCAGATCAAGGAAAATCTTTGAAGGACATTGCCATGTAAAACTTCTCTCCCATGAGAAGACAGTAGTCTGGGATTATGAGAAATCCTACACCTGTGCAGCCAGCAGCATTCTGATGGTTCCTGATAGAGCTCACCCTCTATAGATAGAGCTGGCAAACTAGGAATAAACTAGGAACTGCGCATCATTGGGAACACTGTGCCCACCTGGTACCCCGGCTCTGCTCTAAACCCCACATCCAGAATATCTCCCACTGCCAGCATGCAGTTTTCATCATCTGATGAAAATCAATCATCCCATCAATCATGATGGGATTCCAATCCCATCATCAGACCAAGACACTGTTTGAGCGTCCAAGAGTTCCTCTCTGCTTGGGTTGTAGAATTGTATCACAGAATCACAGAATGCTTGGGTTGGAAGGGACTTTAAAGCCCACCCAGTCCCAGTCCTTGCCATGGGCTGGCTGCCCCCCAGCTCTGGCTGCCCAGGACCCATCCATGGCCTTGAGCACCCCCAGGGATGGGGCACCCACAGCTCTGGGCAGCAGTGCCAGGGCATCACTGCCCTCTGAGTAAAGGATTTCTTCCTAACACATAACCTAAATCTCCTCTCTTTTAACTTAAAGCCTGAAGAGCTGCCCTACTACCAGTATGCAGAACAACAAGACTTCCAGAGTCCACACACACCCTTGCAACCGCCCCTCCTGCACACAGACCCACTGCCTTTCTCCAGGCTGCGTGTGGCCAGCTTATAGGACGCCCAGTTTAAATACACGGTGTCCCATGACCCAAAGTCCAGCTGGTGAAGGGCCCCTTATCTGCTCTGTTTGATGAAGGTGATCCCTGCTCTGTTCAAGAAGCCCAAAGGCCACATCGTGTCCCACTACATTACAGCACTTGTACATTTTCCAGCACTGGCTGGTGCCCAGCCTGCGAATAGAAGGCCATCAAGGTGACTTACAGATGGAAAACGAAAGACTTAGTGATGCCCTCTGCTGCTTCATTGCTGTAAAAAGATACCTTTACAACGTTTCTATGTCTCCTCTTCATTTTTTTAAAATTTTTTTTATTGTTTGGAGGAGGTTTCTCTTTGCTGTTTGCTTTGCGTTGTTTGCCAAAGTTGAAATTCAGGTCCCATGTTTGCTGATTTCCTGGAACTGATCTAGAGAATTAAAACAAACCAGCAGCAAGCCTCAATACACATGCTTCTCCTAAAGATTCTGCTAATTACAGGGACATATCCCAGCTTTCCTATGTAATAAACTCGCAAAGAAATACATTGAATTGCCATTTTTCTTGACAGCTGCAAACAAAAGTTTGGCAAACCATCTCTTTGTAGCCCAGAAGTTGGGAAACGTGAGCAGACCTTTGTTTTTTTAAGGATCCCATGCTTTCCAAGCCAACTCAGCCCTGCTGGGGAGCACTGAGGAATAGGAGACTCTGGGTTTTGTCACACTGGACTTTGTCAAAGGCGTACAGAGACTGGGAGCTGGAAATGAGAAAAATACAAAACACTTTGATCCTGCAAACACTTGGATGGGTTTCCAACGTCACATGCTGGAGTCTACAAACGCACCAACAGCCAGGCTGGGTCAGCCCCAACATCCTGTCTCTAGCAGCAACCAGGAGCAGACTCCCCAGTGCTCACTGAAGTTTGTTGACAGAAGCCTGCTGTTTTTTGGGTTTTTTTTTTTTGCTTTTTTTTTTTCCTACTTTTTTTTTTTCCCCTCCCCCTGAACGTGAGGTGTCTGAGAGCAGGCAGTTCCCAGAGCGACTGTTTGCTGTCATGTTGAAATGCATCTGAGATTGACAAAGTTCCCTCCGCTCCAGGAGCGTTACACAACCCCCAGCCTTATAAATCCAGGATTTCCCTCTTCTCTACCTCCCTACAGCCCTTCTGGGGGTGGAACGCCCACCTACATTCAGCCATGAGGATCCTTCAGCTGCTCTTTACCATCGTTGTCATTCTCCTCCTCCAGGATGCACCTGGTAAGGACCAAATATTTGCAGAGGTTTGTGTAGGACTGTGGGGAGATAAGAGACAGGACTCGATCCCCAGGTAGAGGCAGACAAGATAGAGCAGTTCAAGTCAAGTCAACTCAAGTCTGACCTGACTCTTGCTTTCAAGGAACAAATCTGTTCTCTACAAAGCAGAGAGAACATCATGACAAACAAAAGGCAATTTTCTTGGGAAAGAAAGTAGGGAGAAAGAGAGAAAGGTCTTTTGCTTTGTTTTGTCTCATTTCTTCTGGGATTCTGTTTTAAAAGTCTTCCTTAGCTGTGCTGTTTGGTTGCTTGTACATAGAATCATAGAGTTGTTTGAGTTGGAAGGGACCTTGAAAGGCCATCTGGTCCAACTCCCCTGCACTGAGCAGGGACACCCACAGCTCCATCAGTGCTCAGAGCCCATCCAGCCTGACCTTGGCTGTCTGCAGGGACGGGGCACCATCACCTCTCTGGGCAAATGCACACATTAGGAACTCAGGTCTCATCCAGCCATGGGGTCACTGCGGTGTTACGAGGACTGTGATGGTGTAACTTCTATAGAAACCAAATCTGATTATCAAGAAGAGGAGATTTATTGACTTGGTGTGTCTACACTCTCATTTAGTTAAGTCCTAAGGATAAAAGGAGGGAGAAGGACTTGCCCATTCCCCTGATGCTGCATCCCCATCAGTGCATACCTCTCCGCAATCTCCAAGCCTGTGTTCCTGCTGTGTTTAAGGATAATGCCCAAGGGATCCACCTCACCTGACACAGCCAACCCACAGCTGCCCATCTTGCCTAGGTTTAGCTGTTAAGATGTGAGCTGTGTTTGATGTTCAGATCCCAAGCACTTAACCATGCAGCTCCCTGTTCCAACTGCAGGTGTTGGTTGCTCACCCAGTACCACCAGCGGGGTTCTGTGTGGGTTCCCAACTCCCTAAGCAGCTCACCCATGCTCTTTCCCTCTGCAGCAAGAGGTTTTTCGGACAGCCAGCTGTGCAGGAACAACCACGGCCACTGCCGGAGGCTCTGCTTCCACATGGAGAGCTGGGCTGGAAGCTGCCTGAACGGCCGCCTGCGCTGCTGCAGGTGACAGAGACTGCACTGGGATGGACCAGCACCCCAAGGGCCACACAACCAGGACCATACTTAGGAGCTGCTCTCAGTCACCACCATGAATACATCCACATCTGGTTTTGTCTGCCACCAATAAACCAACTGACTTTTCAATGTCTTTCTGCATCTGGACCTTCCTTCATAATGCTTGGGGTTTGGTTTGTTGGTCCACACGGAGGCATTTGAGGATGCTTGAGATGCGCCCAAACCGTCTGGGCATCCTGCTGTGTGTGTCCCTGTTTGGCCAGGGCTTGGACCTGAGGTCCCTTCCTACCTCAACCTTTCCATGATTCTGTGGATCAGTGATTCTGTGATTTCATTCATGTGAAATCTTGCTCGCACAGTGGGAGAGTTAAATAAAAAGAGAAGCTCCCCACGCAGCCGGTGATAAAAACAAAAGGAGTTCTTTCAGCCTCATTTGCTGGCAGGGGATTCTCTAGGCTGTGTGTGTTTGTGGGGCAGAAGAAGGGGGCTGAAGCCACCAACCAGACTTTGGATGGGCTCTGGGTGCTGACAAGTGCAGAGAGCTTGATGTGGGGGATGGATGAATAGATAAAAAAATGCCATTTGATTAGGAGAAAAAAAAAATTCCAGTTATGTCAGGCATGGTGACAGCAGGTGGCAGTCCCAGCCTGCTTCTCTGCTTCTGCTGCAGAAGGAAAGGAAAGAGGGGGGGGGAAGGGAAGGGAAGGGAAGGGAAGGGAAGGGAAGGGAAGGGAAGGGAAGGGAAGGGAAGGGAAGGGGAAGGGAAGGGAAGGGAAGGGAAGGGAAGGGAAGGGAAGGGAACAATCTTCCTTTTCCATCCCTAAACACAGTACCTGGATGGAAGCTGTCTAATGGTCTATACAGAGCCCTGAGCCACTGCTGGGTGGTGGCTGGAGGAGGGACAGCTGGCATGGACAGGAGGCCTTGGAGTTTTTTGGGGGTGAAAAAAAATAAATTCCTGTATTCCACATTCTATCACAACATGAGGGGTATCGCTGCCTCATCTGGTGGGTAGAAGTATGAATGGGGATGGACCAGATACATTTACACCAGGGAGAAAATCTGGTCAGCTGTTGATGCAGGAAGAAATAGAGCTGCTCACCACAACGTGCTCTGCAGCAGGACCTGTGGGAGAGAGCATCACTTAGGAGAGGAATTAAATCAACACGTGACAGGGCACTCATAATCTCTGGGGCTGGGAATAACCCAAACTTGCTCCCCTTCATCCATGGCTGCAAATAGGATGCCTTTATGCCTTTACAGTGAGGGTGGTGAGGCATTGGCACAAGTTGCCCAGAGATGTGCTGTCCATGGAGACTTTCAAGGCAAGGCTGGACCAGATCCTGGGCAACCTGATCCAGCTGTGTGTCCCTGTGCATTGCAGGGCAGTTGGACTAGATGGCTTTCAGAGGACTCTTCCAACTCTAAGGATTCTATGATTCTTTACGCCTCCTGGTCTCAGGATGCTGCTCCTCTCCTCTGAGTGACAGTGCAGCTCCTCAGGGAGCTGGGATAGCTCAGCCAGAGGTTAGCAGCCGCTCTGGCTCACCCAAGCCCCATGGAGCAGATAAGGCTCCCCTCGATAACAAGACCTGCCAGCAGCAAGCCTCCAGTTTTCCACCTTTTTGAAGTCTGCCTGGTGAGGTTGTGCAGAACTTTGTCCGCTTGCCAAAGTAACCAACTTCCAGCTCCAGCCTTCTTCTTCCCTCCTTTCCCCGCTCTTCCTCCTCGCTCCTCCGTGCACACGCTGCTCCACGAGGCCGATAGGGACTCTAGGGGGGGAGTGAGGGGCTGATGTCATCTGTTTTTGGCTCTGTAGAGGAGAAGGCAGTGTCGGAGGAGGTGAGGGTCGACACGTCTGCCTCTACCCAGCCTGGCGCCGGGAGCAACTGGGAGCCTTCCTCCCGCAGCCGCCTCCACTCCTTATCAGGGCAGGATGACATCGCAGGGACCCGAGTGGGGAAGAAGGTGGGAGAGCTGAATGGGAGCCTTGTGAGAAGAGTGTGTGTGTGTGTGTGTGTGTGTGCTGGAAACAGCTCCCGGCAGGAGCCAAGGGGGGAAATAGCTCGCAGCAGGATGGAGCCTGCTATCAGCTGTGTGCTGGAGTCAGTGAGGCTCTTGCTGAGGTTAACCTCTCCCATCCTGGGCAGGCAAGCTGGAAAATTCTACGTGGTCATCTCTGAAGGGTTAAAAGATTCCCTGTGCCATTCAAGGAGGAGGATGAGCCCTATGAACAGAGGGAGGGAGGTGACGACCTCTATTCCTTACCCAAAGTGTGGGGTATGCATGCAGGGCTGGCTGTGACTGTACTGGGAAGATGGGAACTGTTGTGAGAGGGAGCAAAGGGTCCTCCTTCAAAGGGTTTTGACATGTTTTTACCCAATTCTGAAGAGAAAATTTTATTGTCCATAGAACAGCATTAATATCTAACGTCACCCACTCTTCTCTCCCTTAGAAATAAGGTTTGATCATAGAGTCTTAGAATATTAGAATCATCAAATAAATGAATGATTGAACCACTGAATCATCAAATCATCAAGTCACAGAATCACAGAATGGCTTGGGTTGGAAGAAACCTTAAGGCCCATCCAGTTCCAACCCCTCTGTCAGGGGCACAGTTGCCACCCACTGGATCATGTTGCCCAGGGCCCCATCCAGAAAAGATCAGAAAAGAATGAAGCATTTTTAGATAGATAAACCGAGAACCAAACTGTGCCTTCTCTCTCCTACAACACAGCTTCAGGGAGGGAAAAGCCTGGTGGGAGGTGGGAGATGCAGCCCAAAGAGGGAGATGGATCCATAGAGCCTTGACCTCCAAACATTTCTGACTGTGTCAGAGAAAAGCATGTCACTTGGTCACAGCTGATGTCTCAGAGTGTAATAAAGTACATTTTCCAGGCGTAAATAAATGACTTCATCCTCCTGGCAAGGTGCTCTCGGCCACGTGGAGGAAAAACAGTGCAGGAGCACTGCAGCTCCCTGAGGATGGAACTGGTGGGACAGCTCCAAGGCAAACACCACAGGCAGCATCCAGGCTGCAAATCTGGGATTTGGCTTCCAGGATGCTGCCAAAACTTGTGGCTCTTGGTCTGGATGAAAGGCAGAGGTGAAAGTTCTGGGGGAAGGCTTTGCATCCCAGATGTGGGATGGTAGGTGAGCCCTTCCTCCACTCCTTCCTCCTTTTCCCAGAGCCTCCACCAAGCAGCCCTTTTCCAACCCTAAACTTTCAGTGCTGCACACAGAAGAGCAGGACCCTTCCCCAAGCCTGGGAGGGACGTGAAAGCTGTCAGGAGGCTTTATTGTCCAGATCTTCAGGCTGCTATCAGCAACTCCCACACGCTGGAAGTGAGATATGTGTGACAACATTTTTTCCGTTGGCAAGCTTATCGTTGCCGAGAAGAGGGGAAGGGATTGGGGAGGGCAATGGAGAGGAGGGGGGAAAGGAAGGGAGGTGGATAGGTATGAATGCCCACCTCTCCATCCTTCGTTCACCCCATGCTCCCCAGGCCTGTGAAAGGAGAGGAAAACATATTTTTGGAGGAGCACAGAGTTATGTCAGACCCACAGCCTGCTGGCCCAGTAGGGACTATTCTAAATTCCTTGGGTAAGATCCTAAAACTCTCTTCCTGAAAACGTATCTCTTAATTCATATGGGTATACGTACAAATGGAAAGACTTTCTGGAGGGATATTGGCTGGGCTAGCAAGACCTCATGGGGTATGATCCCAGTTGTCAACTGCACGTTGGATCTCATCATGTTTTTGCAGTGATCAGACTGTCAGGCTCTGGGAAGGAAGGGTCTTGGCCCACAGTCTTGTTTTGCAGAGCAGAGCCTGAAACCTGGCTTCCTCAGTCTTTGGAGAAGGAAAAAAAAAAACACAAAAGAACAACAAAATCCACACCAGTAAACACTTGATGCCACAGTTTTAGGAAACTACAACGTTTGTCAAGCTTTGCAATAGAAGTCTCAAGATGGCAATAATTGTGATGGCAACACATCTTGGTCTGTGGGGCAAGAAGGTGAGTGAGGTTATAGGTGGGATTTCAGGGGTCAGCACTGAACACATGGGAAAACACATGGGAAGCACAAGGTGGAGAAAAAAAGTGCACATTTTTTCTGTTCAGTGAAATCATCATTATTGGTGATGATTTTGGAGGCCAGGCAGAATCATCTCACTGGCCATTGCCAGCCCCTGTGCCATTGGCTGGGCCATCCTGAGATAAAAATGAACCTCAGAACATGAGGGGAGCCCTTCTGTATCTCAAGCACAGGAGAGAAAAGTGGGTTTGGATGAGTCTGTGATAGATGAGTTTGCAGCAGTAACGCCCTCATGAAGGCAGTGGTCATCTGTTGCACAACTTCTTACATGGGCAGCTACTGATAGGAAAAGGGGGAGGGCGAATTTAAACTAAAGGAGAGGAGATTTAGGTTAGCTATTGAGAGGAAATTCTGTGGTGAAGCACTGAAATGGGTCACCCAGAGGAGCTGTGGGTGTCCCATCCCTGAAGGGGATGGCAGGAGTTGGAACTGGATGGGCTTTAAGGACCCTTCCAACTCAAGCCCTCCTATGATCTGTGATTCTATGAAATGAAGAGTGGTGTTATAAAGCCAGCCAGGTACTGTAAAGAGAAAAAAGTCCCTCATTTTTTTGGAAATTCTCTCGTATCTATACATAAGTACAACATATCTGTACCCATGCTGTGTAGCTTCTTAGGACAGAAGACTCTTGCCAGCTTGCCCTTTCACTGTCCAGGTAAGTGAGGAGTAGAAGAGTTTCCCCTTAGGGCCCCAGAAGGTTTTCCAAACTCATCCATACAGAAGATAAGCAACACGGCAGGACTGCAGGAGTTTGGCATAGTCCAGAGACACCTCCAGTTGCTTCCTTGCCCAAATGCTTCTTATTCTTTATTGTTTTCTCTCTTGTAGATCACCAAAGTGGGGGGACCTGCTCTGAGGGGTGATATGTGCACCATGGAAGTATGATGGGCTAATGGTACAGGGGCAAGAGTCCAACTTCTGGGGTCATGGAAAGGATAATGCAAGTGGAACTTCAGTCAGCTTGGATGGACCAAGGCACAACTGCACCAGAATTAGAAACAGGACGGAAATATATTGGCCAAAAATACATAGGGTAGCGTTTGCTGAGCATGATGCTGGCTCTGGAGGAGACAGATTAGCATTCAGCCATGCATGGATTAGCTCTAGGATTCACTTGTACGAGCCATGGGGAGTAGAGAGAAGAGGTTCCCCCAATGGCTTGTCCTCCTTGAGAAGTCTTAAAGCAAAACTTTTGATTCATTTATCAACACTGCCAGTAAGTGCATGCAGGAAAACTTTCAAGAGGGTTCTGCACCAGCTCAGAAGTATTTCTGATCCATCTTCCAGGCAGTGAAATAAATACTGAATAAAAAAACAGTTTTTTTTTTTCTTGGCTATGACTGCCTGAGCCAATATCCCAGCAAACAAGAGGTCAATAAAGGGTCAACAAGAGAAAGTTCCTTATTTAAGGTTTGGCACTTGTTCAGCTACAGCATTTGGTCTGACACGTGGTGGGCTGGTCTCTGTTCCTGCCACTGAATGGCTCTTCAAGTCTTCCTGCCTCAGTTTACCCACTTGTGAGATGGAGGCAAAGGTAACGCAGTGTCCCAGAGATGAATACTCATGAAGATATGGAGCAATTGAGGCTGGAGGGGACCTCACGTGTCTGTGATCCACCACAGCTCCAGCCAGGGCAACCTCGATCACCTGGAATCTGAAGGAGGTGCCCAGGGTGCCAGACACCATTTATTAGAAATATCTTAGAAAGTAGTCTTTATTGTGTCTTTACAATAACAGAGGCTATCTCGGGACACAGACTCTTACGGAAGAACCACTTTCTTTCATACTGAAGAAAGTGTTTTTTGACAGAAATAAACCACCCACAGAAACATCCTGTGGCTCCGATGCATTAGTTTTCCCTCGAGCAAAGCAAAAAGCAAAAGCATTCTGCACGAAAACCCCTTCTGTAAAAAAAAAAAAAAAGTCTACAAAAAGTGATTTTTACCTCTTACCATGCACATTTTTTTTCCTGGGGGGGATGCAAACCCATTTCTCTCTGCCACCCCAGTGAAAACAAAAGCTGGGGGTCCACCTCGACTGGTCCCCAGGGTGCCCAGCCGTGCCTGCCGAGGCCGTGGGAGTTTGGCTACTGTTATCCGGCTCTTATCAGCACTCATGTGCAGCCTGTCACCGATCCCACTTAGCTCAGTGATCCCGGGCTGAGCCCAGTCTCCAGAGGACCCCGCTATCTCCGGACTGGCGGAGACCTTGGCTGGGATTGGCGTCTTCTGACGACAGAGGAGCTGCCCCGACTCCCAGCCCTGTCCTGTTGCTTCTCCCGGCTCCTCTCTCAGGGTCTGGCAAGGGTTTGCCTGCTTCTTGTTGACCAAAATAGCAGCAGAGATAAAAAATCCAAGCATGGTGGTGAATTTCCATTCACGAATGCAGCCTCCCCACCCTCTAGGACAGGACAACCCGGCCACCACCACCCCCTGCTCCCCACCTTCTCCCTCCGTACAGAGGAGCAGATTGTGTCTCAGGGTTGTCTTCTTTTTCAGGCTTTCTTTTCAGAGGCGTTTTACCACCTCTGGATCTCGTCCTTGCCCATCCCAGGCAGCACCACCTCATACCCCGCCATCTATGTCATGCCCATCATGTCCACATCCAGACCCACCAGACAAGGATGCATGATGCCCACTCCAGCACACACCCAGAGATACCCAAAGCAGCAGTAGGATGCTGAGGGACAGACCCTGGAGTCCCACATTCTCACAGCTGCCCAAACCACGCCTGGAAATGCTAGGGGACTTTGGCTCCCATAACCCAGATATTATCATCATGTCATGTCATGTCCCATCCTGTGCCAGAGAGATGGGGAAGCACAAATTGAGGAATGACAATGACATGGTAATGGCAACCCCATCACACAGCACTGTCAGGAACAGCCCCTGGAGCAGGTTAGCAGGGCAGTTCTGGTGGGCCCATCTGCCTGCATCCTGTGGGTAGGGATGCTCTGCCCCATCTCACTGCTCTGTAGGATTAACCTCTTCATTTCTGGGGTCGTCAATACATCAGATCTGTTGGTCAAGCTACGTTGACAGGACCCCCATGATTTCTCTTACAAAAAAAAAAAAGGAATTAAACAGTCATTAACAACATTAAGAGTCTTTTTCTGCAGTCTTTAAGGACTAAGACCTTGCCTTCAACCCCATCTATAGAGCACTGAGCTGAACAAGCCTTGAACACAGACTGGCCATCAATACATACCAGGGACCATCCCCAAAAATCTCTCCAGGAGTGAACAGGTCTTAGACCTTCCAGCATCCCAAGCATTGAGAAACAATTCTGAAGGTCCACTGTGCTATGTGTCCCTCATCACACCTATCTGTGCTCTGGGGAGGTCTGCAGCAAAGAGGACAGTGGTGATCAGGGTGGAAGATGGCAAGGACACAGGGAAACAGCCTCACGTTGTGCTAGGGGAGGTTTAGATTGGATATCAGGAAGAAAGGGTCACTAGGCATTGGAATGGGCTGCTCAGAGAGGTGCTGGAGTCCCATTCTCTGGAGGTATTTGAGAGATGTGTAGACATGATGCTTACTGACATGGTTTGGTGGTGGATTTGGTACTGTTGGTTGGCAGTTGGATTTGATGATAGTATTGGTCATTTTTAATCTAACAGTAGTGTGATTGTATGATTCTAAAAGGAACCTTGAGGCTGAACAGACTGGGGACATTGGCACAAATGTCTGCTATGTAACATTACATGATGTTTCCTCCAGAACTGTGGGTTCCTACCAAGCCCTGTCCCCCAGAAAACCCCTTCAATTGGGCTGTCTATCCCAAGAGCAGTGCCTCAGTCATGGCTTGATGGAAGCGTGTCCCTGACAGATCACTGTCAGGATTTCACAACAGGCTGATGAATGGTTTTGCACGTGAATTCAGCCAGTCAGGAACAACCCCACATGCAGACCTGTAGGATCCTCATCCATCACCCCACACCTAGCTTTGGGGACATTTTCTTAATGCAATGACAGACTTCTACGGACCACTTTAGTCTTGGTGACTTCCTCTTGCAGCACGATATCTGCTGTAGGAGAAGCTAGAATTTCAATTTCGATGCTTTCCTCCATGATTCCTCTATATTCCTCTTCCAGGTTCTTCTCCTTATCTAGCACCACTTTCCTGTTTTTCTTCCTCACCCAGCACCCTCCAGCCTCCCCGGCTCCTGCACCATTGGTTCC